AAAGTTCTCTAGTAATTCCTATCATCCCTCCATTGACCTATTTCCCACTGATAATGAATGGTCAATTAGTTACCAAGATCATGTTATCTCATCAAACCATCCCCTTCATAAACCCATCTAGTTTAATCTTGAAGCCAGATCTAGTTTAATCTTGAAGCCAGATAGATCTTTTGCCCCCACTACTTGATTTCAGCACCAATGATTTCACTAGGTAATATGGTACCTCACCACACCACTGCCTCCTTTGCACTGCCCTTCAACACATTTCCTGCATGTTGTGTCCAAGGTCAGTCTATACAAGATTTTATCAATGATTTTTGCTGAAGCGATCACTGAGACAAGACAAGGACTCTCAATTGATTCTAGTCAGCTCTGCCTTTAAACACTGGATGTAAAGGGTCAGATATAACTGAGGATTCCCAAATAGACTCTACACCACCAGAAATAAAACCTGTTTCCATCTTCTGTGACTTTCAGTTAGATGTGACAGTTGATTAACAGATGGCAGTAGATAGCTCATTCAGATCACTGGCTGATAAGTTAGTCACCCTGACCAGTCATTAACCATAGTCATGGACTCACCCTACTCTCCATTGTCTCTCTGATTCTCTGATGACCTGTGACAAAAAAGGAAGGTGGAAAGGGAAACTGAAGGGAGAAACCTCTCTAAATTCACCAAAGAGCAGTATTGCCAACCCAAAAATCACAAGGAATGCCTACACAAAGTTATGAGAATTGTCTACAAATCATAAGATATTTTAAAAATAATACATGTTGGATTTTTATTGGCCTTTTGTTTGAGTATTTAGGGTTCGTGTTTTAAAGCTTTCCTCCTTAGGTGTAAGGCCCAGAAGCAGAGAGAACTTTTTAAAAATGAAAGCTGAGATTCCTACATAATCAATTGACTCCAGGCCTTTAGAAAAACACCAAATGTTTTGAGACTCATGGTAAAACAATGGAGGAATTCTTGTGAACCCATGCTTTGCCCACAGTATAAATAAAAATATACACACACACACACACACACAAATATCTTCTCCACTAAACATTCTAATGAGATAACTGCAAATGAGGAACTGAATTCAAATCAACCTAGTTTTTCATATTCGAGATTGGTTACCAGGAATCATACATGACAATATGAAATCTTTCCACTCTCAAGTCAGCAGAGTCACAAAACACTTATAATTTTGATCCATGCATTTATTGGATAGTGAGAGAGAAAGGAGGGGAATTAGTGTAGATACATGTTCAAATTAAAAAAAAAAAAGCCTGAAGAAATTAGGACTGGGCTCCTACATCTCACATTCAGAACTGACTAGGACACTTGTGACCAGATTTTCAAAAGTGTGTAAAGATCAGATAGATATCTTTGAAGATCCGAGTTGGCAACTGTCTCTTTTGGACCTTAATTACCTTTGAAAATCTGAGCTTAGATTTCCAAATCCAATTTTCAAAAATGACTTTAGTCACTCAAGTGCTTTTGAAAATTTTAACAGGGGGCCTAAAGAGAAAAAAATAGACAAAAGCAGGAGATATGGTATTCCTTTTAAAAATGTGTGACATCTATTTTTAACTAAATTTTATATTATTTTTCTCCCAGGGGCAACTGACCCCTCCGGCCCACTCACTACGCCACAGCCCGCCGTTCCCCGCCACCTTCCTGCAGATCTATCATCTTATGCATGTGCAAGATCTGTGAGAGCCATCCCATGACTCTGCAGTTAGTGTCTGCCAGCTTCTGGGTGGTGTCTCAATGCTGCCACATTTACCTCCAAAGATGGGGCTTCC